CTCTCTCTCCTCTCTCTCTCTCTCTCCTCTCTCCTCTCTCTCTCTCCCTCTCTCTCCCTCTCTCCTCTCTCTCTCTCCTCTCTCCCCTCTGTCTCTGTTCATTCATATTCAGTGGGATTCCTGACATCGTCGCTGTTGTCAGGTCTTTGTTCCTTGCTCCTCACCCTCCTGCCACCTTTTGGATTAGTGGAGTGACCTGTACCATTTTCTCCCCGCTCCTCTCTTGGGTTTTGGGCTCTTTTAGCTATGTAGATATGTAGATGTGTACTTTAAGTGGTCATTACAGGGGTCACAGCATACTCCGTAACTCATCACAGAACTCTTCCGGTTCCTATGGTCCCACTTTGACGATGAGGGAATGACGGGAATGACTCTGGACTCAGATGGGCCTGGAGCACGTGATGGTGAGACGAAGAAGTCGGTGACAAGGGCCACAGCTGCATGAGGCCATTGCTGTGCAGTGCCCAGAGCAGGCAGGTGCAGGGGCGAGGGCGAGACTGTGGGATAGTTACGTGGGGCTGAGGGCGAAGCAAGGATGGGGAAAGGTGGCAGCGAGGGTGTGGGGCCTTTTCAAGGTGATGAAAAGATTCTGCATCATGGTGATGGATGAAAAGCCAGTGGCTCTTAGGACAGTATATTCACAGGACCATGGTCCTGTGAATATACTGTCCTAAGAGCCACTGGCTTTTCCACCTTTAAACAGGTGAATTGCATGGTACAGGAAGCAGAAGTCAGTAAAGCTGTTAAATACTGTACTAACATAAGGTGAGTAGAATCCATTTACCTTCTTCTACCTACTGGCTATTGCCGCTATATTGTCTATTTCTGTGTGCTACGAACCCTACCAGGAATCGTTACTTTCGCTTTAAATAGTCAGTAGGCTTAACAGTTACAAAGTCTTTCATGTTTACCCACCTATTTCCTGTTTGGAAAGTTCCTCATTCCTTCCTGCAGCTTTGAGCTTCCACTTAGGGTCACTTGTCTTCAGCATGAAAAACTACTTTCAGTGTCTTTCCACCCTCTCCCGCTTCTCCTCTCTGTCTTTTTATTTTTGAGACAAGGTCTCACTATGTAGTTCAGGCTGGCCTTGAACTCAAAGCTATCCTCCTGCCTCAGCCTCCCAGGCGCTAGGATTACAGGCATGCGCTACCATGCCTGACTCTTTTAGTCTCTTTTGCACTGAATGCAATGCCTGGTGCTAAAATACATTTTTTTCATCTTTGCCTGAACTTTTTTTTTTTTTTCCTACCTTTTTGATAGGTGTTTTTGTTGGCTCGTAGGTCGACAGCTCGCTCCACATTGTTTAATTTTCTGCTGACTTCCAGTGTTTCTGATGAGAATTCGACTGCCATTGTTATTGTACCCATGAATGTAACGCTTCTTTTATTCTCTGGCTGGTTTTTTTAATTAATGAAGTTTATTGGTGCCTTTTAGAGATGCATAAAGATCACCTTAAGCAGAGAGAATCTGTACCTGTACGTAATTTGATTCTTTCTCCCCCATCCCTCTACCCTCCCTGCAGCTCCTCTTCTCCTCCCTATTTTCAAAAGCTGTGTTTCCATTTTTTCTTCTTTTCTCATTTTTTTCTTTTCCCTTCCTTCCTTTCCTCCTCCCCACACCCTAGTTCCCCTTCCCGTTTGAACATTTTCTTTCTGTTTCACAATATCTGTTACACAGTTTGGTCTTTATTTATACTTTCGGTTTCTCACACCTCCTCTGGCTGCTTTTAAGATTTCTCCTTTCTTTGGTTTTCATTAGTTTATGATGTGCCTAGGTGTGGGTTTCTTTTTTTTTTTTTTTTTTTTTTTGGTTTTTCTCAGGTACCGGGAACTGAACTCACGACCTTGCGCTTGCCAGGCAGGCGCTTTTGCCGCTGAGCTAAATCCCCAGCCCCTGGGTTTCTTTAATTAATCTTGTTTTGGGTTTGCGGGGTTTCTTGGGCCTGTGGATTGGTGCATTTTTGTAATTTCTGGTAAATTATAAGCTACTCTTCTGCCCCAGTGTCTCTCTCCTCCTTCTGGGGTGCCAGTTATACCTATGTTAGAAAATTTGGCCCTGTCCTGCAGGTCGCAGACATTGTTTGTTCACTTGTTCTTCCTCCCTTTCTTTTTTAGTCCTTATTTATTTCTGTGCTTCACTGTGGATAATCACTCCTGACTTGTTTTGTTTCTTTTCTTTTCTGTTTTTTTTTTAGATTTTTTGAGACGGTGTCTCATTTTATAGTCCAGGCTGGTCCGGAACTCATTATGTAGCCCAGGCTGGTCTCAAATTTACAGCAATTCCCCTACCTCAGCCTCCCAAGTGCTGGGATTACAGGTATGCACAACCACGCCCTGCCAATTTTTCATTTTAGATATTTGTACTTTTTGATTCTAAATATTCTTTTTGATCTTTTTTTAATTTCCATTTTTCTTTTAATTTTCCATCTCTTCATCCATGTGTTCTTTTTTGCCTCTAAATTCTTTAATATAACTTTGGTTTGTGTGCTGAACACTCTTGAGATTCTGGATTATGTTATCTTCCTCCAAAGCATGTTGAGGTTTATTTTTGTAGAAAAATTACTGACTGATTATCTTGAACATGTGAATGCCTGGTTTTCAGCTATGTTAGGATGGATATTTTTCAGATGTCCCCCTTAGTTCTGTGGTGCAGGGGCCGGGGATATACCTCAGCAGCACAGTGCCTGCCTGACAAGCGCAAGGTCCTGAGCTTGATTCCTGGTACCAAAAAAAAGAAAGTTTTGTGGTAGAGTCGCTGCTCTTAGCTTCCAGTCTGTATGCTAAGCTTAACCTTTCTATAGTATCAGCTGAGTGGCAAAGGTAGTCACCAGGGTCTCTCCTCTGCTCCCAGGGAGGGTGGGAACTGTGCGTCCTTTATCATCTCTATTCAGGTGGATTTTCCTTTAGTGTTTCACA